ATGCCTTTTATCCACAACCCTAAGTCTACCAGATCCTACAGTAATCCATCTGCCATTCCTAGTATGTCAGGTAGTTGTTCGTCATGCAGGTGGTCGATGAACTGGTGAGCATGTCTGTCCCCCCCTCCGCTTAAGTAGGGGTGCTTATTATGGTGTCGCCGTCTTGGAGCCTTAGCCATTGGAGGAGGCTGAGTGCTCGGGGGCCGCTTGTGTGGTGAGTTGCAGCCCGGTGTTGGCGAAGAGAGTGCTTGCAATGCACGGTTTAGTTTTGCCCAGAAATCTTCGACGATTCTATCGAGTGTGGTTACTTGCGAGGTCTGGGTTAAACCCAGAACCCACATGGTGTCTGCCATATTGTTTTGGTTGCTTTGTTTCCCGCTTTGGGAGGCCATCAAGTGGATGTGCATATCTCCGCCAAGTAGCCTCCCAGACTGGGATATCCCCCACCGGTCCAGAGGGGATGGGTTCTGGGGCTCTGTGAGGTGATTTTTTCCGCTGTCTGGGTGTTCCCCATTGTGAGATCGGCCGTTTCTCCGGGGCTCACCAGGCCGCAGGTCAGTCATCCTGCCCTCTGGGATTGTGTACACGTATAGTTCGTTTTTGCTGCTTATATTGGACTCTGGTACTGCCAGAGAGATTGATTTGCCGACTTAGTGTTTTATTTCCACGGGTTTTAAACAGAAAATACTCTATTTATTTCTGATTAGTCCAGAGCTCATGCGATACACATCTGTATCAAAATTCAAATTAATTAATATTGACTCGTTCATAAATTATCCTGTTAATAGTTGTAATAAAACTGACCCACTCAATAAGTTTTTGGCGAAAGTGTTCATGTTGTCTTTCAATGTCACAATTTATATTGATACGGCATGCAATGTGTCCTTGCTTGTCCGTTTATATTGCATTTGCTTCATTTACAACGTACACTGTTGGATTTTTTTATTCTGCTGTATTAGTCAAATGTCCAATATAAACTGCTATTGAGTATATAAAGGGAGTTTTACAGAAATGATAAATTAGAAGAAAATGCTGTTTAATACTATGTTGATAGAATATATATCCCTAACCCTCAGGTTATTATTAGACTATATATATATCTATATATATATATATATATATATACATGACATTGCTCATGTAATCTTTTTTTCCGTCTCTGTCAAATATACTAATATACTACTTAATAAAGATTTGATCTGTCTGTCTGTCCATGAACAAGAGTGTTTTGCAAAAGGGTTACAAATCTTTAGCTGAACTTGATTAAAGCTAATAAAAAAATAGCTTCCACAGATGAATGAATAGTTTATTAGCTGCTGCAACAGCATGAGTTTAAATCACAGATTCATAGCGGCATACATTTTTTTTCTTATCCAAGTTGTCATATCAATATTTTTTCTAGATATTTTTTACATTTTAGAGGTCAGTGGTTGTTTATATCTAGAAGTGAAGTAACTTCATAAAAAGCATTGAATAATGCTTTTCTCCCCACGGTGCACTGAAATTATCCTCAACTGCCCAAGACATTTTGTTACAAATTTAGAGTGAATTGTTCTGAATTGCTTTTTTGGGGGCTTTTTTTTAATAGCATTTCTAGAACATTCACTTTTGAATGACAAATGCAAAAATAATTGCAAAGTATTTTCAAAATTTAAACAGTATATCCTCATGAACAATATTAGTATAAAATGATTTAACTATTAAAGATATCTAAGGATATATTTAGATTTCCCTTGTATCTGGTACATCCTCAGATAAAGAGGATATAATTACCCAACTCTAGACTACTAATAGATATATAGAATCCTGGAAGAATGAAAGATCAAGTTGAATAGTAGTAATCACAATGTGTCATGTACTGGTACCATTGTGAGTTTTCATAAATAGCTTTGATATAAGCTAGTTTCACATTTTATCTGTCTATATCTTCTAAAATAGAAGATTGGTCCTACTGCTCTATGCAATTTCATTTTTCTCTAGAAATGGTATGCCTTTCCTTTCCCATAAACTTTTATGAAGAATGCCAAAGGCTTTAACTATTCTGCTGGAAATTACACATTAGTTTTCAGGTACTGTGTGTGGATTTGTTCACTGTCAGGAGTACATGAACTCTGGTATCAATTGGTGACAGATATTGCCTGGGGCCGGCCAATATGATTTACAGCCACTCACCGATCACAGAGAGCTTCAGAGATAGCAGGTTGCTGCTTTCCTTACATCTACCTAATTTTAAAAATTCCTGCAGGCTCCATAAATGCTCTTATACCCATCATAAGAATTTTAATTTATATTGATTCAATAAAATGTGAGTACAAGGCAAATATCATACATTAATTTAAAATATGTGCAAAGTATGTTCCTGGTTAAAACTAACCTGTTATATATAATTGGACAATCGAATACTTTTAGTGAGCAAAGACTTAAAAAATAATCAATAGAAATGTATGTTTTACTTGTCAGTATAATGAGGTTATATGACTTTATGTGACAGAGAAATGCATTTTTGGGGTAATACTGCAAATCTCTGAATTTGTAATGAATCTGATCACTCTGAATCATTGAGCTATTCTAAGCTGCTATATCTAACTATTAATAACCCTCCACATTTAGGGGGAAAGAGAACCCGGAAGCAGCGAACGCAACCTGACCACCAGCCATGACCAACGCTATATCTTGTTAATTGTATTCCTGTTCTGAATTAGCTCTGTTATCTTAATTTCTTTTTTCTTTCTCTCTCTTGCCTCACCACTCCGCAAGCAACACTAGCCATGACTTGGCACAAACCACACTCACAGCCCAAACCCCAGGATGGCCCACGATGTCCGTAATAGAGCCCGGATGGAAACTAACCTCCCCCCCCCCGAGTCACCCTAGATCAGGGGACATTATTCTACCTGCTACAACGCTAGGTACCTAACTTACTAACGATGCTGTCACTGATAGCCTCACATGACTCACACATATGACAGCATGACATAATACATGCCAGGGATGGACTGCTAACAGACTAGCCCATAATAGCACATAGATCAAGCTCTCACCCACCTACGAGGTACCTACACCGAACTAGACCAACAGAAACCATACATAGTAAAAGAGGCCTGCCAATGTTGAATGTTTATAACTGCTGATGTAATACTGTTATTCCTTATCTCAACACACCAGGCCCGGACTGGCCATCGGGCATACCGGGCAAATGCCCGGTGGGCCACGATGGCCGTGGGCCGAGGCTGGCAGGGAGATCACAGGATCACAGGATCTCCCCGGCCGGCCCCTACATGGCCAGCGCTATCCGAGCGCCAGCCCTGCTATGTGCCTCCATGGGCCGGTGGGGAGATCAAAGATCTCCCTCACCAGCCCAGAGGCAGGGAGATGCGGCTGCAGGCTGGGGAGGGAGGCAAGAGAGAGGACCCGGCAGAGCTCTAACAAGCAGCTCCGCCGGGTCCTCTCACGGGATTCTGAGCGTTGCCGCGGTTACCACGGCAATGCTCAGCTCTCGCGAGAGTGAACTCTAGCCTGCAGGCTAGAGTTAACTCTCACCACTAGGACCACCAGGGAATGCAGCATGGTCCCCCCTCAAGGCAGAATGGCTACCCCCCCTCCTGGGCTAAAGGTAAGAATGGAGGGAGATGGAGGGGGGGGACATAACTTTTATTCAGACACACACAGCACCCCCAGACACACGCAGCACCTCCAGACACACACAGACAAACACAGCACCCCCAGACACACAGCACCCTCACTCCCACACATATGCACATATATATATATATATATATATATATATATATATATAAAATAACCCTCAGTTAACAGACAAAGAAAATTAGAAACCTAGAATGTGACGGCAGATAAAAACACCCTCACACACAGCACCCCTCTTACACAAACACACTGCACACCTCACACATACAATACGTCCAAATATTATATATATATAAATATATATATATACACACACACACACACACACTACAGCACCCCTCACACTGCACCACTACACACATTACTCTCCAGATACACGCTAGATCCCTTACCCTATATGCACTCGTAATCTTCTACACACACACACACACACACACACACTCTTCTATACACACTCTGGGTGCTTTACACACTAGATCTCTTACACACACACACTGCACCACCTACACACACACTACATTCCTTGTAAGCAAACACATACAACATTCTCTAAACACACCCTCTCTACAACCCCTACACACACTACATCACCTATACACACACACTACTGCCCGTATGCACAAACTCGCTACATCCCCTATAACAATATGCCCCTATACACGCATTCTCTACAGCCCCTAGCCACACATATTACACCACAAAATTGACCTATTTACACAATACCACACCACACTCTACACACAGGCAATCCCACAAGCATCCACCAAACACATGCACCATACACTTTCCTGGCCCTTTTGTCCTCTGGTATCCCACTTGTGGAGACACCAAAGACAATTTAAAAACAAACACAGCGCAAGCATGTTATTACATTTGCTTGCGCTGCGCAGAACAAATTCAGGGCCTTTTTCTAATGCTAGAGCTCTTCAGCGGGGCTCTGCGCATTGAACCAACATGCTCACTTTCAGAAGGGGCGTACTTGTCATTAGTGATGACAAAAAACACCCTCTCTGGCCGCGCCCCCTTCTTGGGGGGCCGCTCTAATTGAAAAATGCCCGGGCCTAATTTTTTTCCCAGTCCGGCCCTGCAACACACCATCTGAAACTAATACGCTTGTAAACTTTCCTCAATAAAACAAAGATTGACAAAAATATTAAATGAAAAAAATGATTAATAAATCACAGGATTTGTTTTGATCATATTAAACACATATGCAAATATATGTCCAAGTCACTGGCGGAAAATCTGCTTAATTGAAGGCATTATATAAGGAATTTGCACTACACTTGTCTAAGAAGAACTTACTAATATTAAACAGCTACCTTATAGCTGTGTTCCACTTGTTCTAGGGGTACTTATTCTAAAGATGTTTGGAATCTGAAATCAAACGTAGAAAGTCTGATTTCCTGTTTGAACAGATTAAGCAGTATAGGGAATTGTCCCAGTAGATTTAGTTACTAGTTTAAATGTAAATTTACAATTTTTGTGTTAGATAACATCTTTACAATATAAACATTGAAGTAATATAAGCAGTAATGTAAAATAAACAACCATCACTAAAATACAAACAGTTGCATTCCAATTTACACCCTGTAGTAAAAAGTGAACAACTTCCATGTTGTATTAGAATATTGTATTAGGTTTCAGAATTGTTTGCGGGTGATTCACCTACTCTGCTTGTGATTTGCATATTGAAGTAAATACTTCTGTAGTTTACTCACAATTCACATTAAATGGTAAACTTGAA